CTATCACTGCCTGAAAAAATATGTTGAATTAAGAGTTAACCAGTTAAGCAGCCTGACAATTAAACTGACAACATTGTTAAAGGAACTGACTTGTTTTCTAATCTACGCGTCACAAGGCGTTTTTCTTGTCCTTTTACCGTGCACGACCAGCGAACACAGAGCGCGCGACTACTACCCCCCCCCGTCGGTCGTTCCGCCCGCAACGACTACTACAACCCCCCCCGTCGGACTTTCTCGACCGGTCCGCGAAGTATTGTCTGACATGAAACCGGTGCGTGAGGTAAGAAAGGTCGGGGACCACTGGGCTAATCCACAACGTGTATGTGTTTACACACCTCCTGGATCCTGATTGGTGTCGGTGCTGCAGCCGCAAGGCACTAATTGGATGCTCACAGACCATAATACAGCGCAGATGAACATGATTCAGACTACGGCGTTTATATGTTCAAAAATACGAAACGTAGTCTTAGCTGTTTTAAAATTACACCAATTTTATTTCGGATTATTCCAACGGAAGAATACAAGGCGCCGGGAACTTTGAGGTGCGTAAACGCTATTTATAGGTGCGTAAACACTATTTATAGGTGCGTAAACGCTATTTATAGGTGCGTAAACGCTATTTCCAAAATTCTAGAGGTGCGTAAACGGCGTTTACGTGCGTTTACCCTCCACTACAGCCCTGAGCGCTCCCTGTCCATGCCATTGGTCCTCATAAAAACGTCAATTAAATTGAAGATTTCCTGTCCTGTTGTTCGGGTAGCAAGGGGCCGACAGAACAAAAACTCTTCTTGTACCGATCCTTCAAAAATCTGTAACTGAGCAGATATGAAGCCCGTAGTGCGTCTTTCGTAGACCCAACGCATGAATGAAACTGCATTTTCTTTTGGCTTTTCTGCAACTCCTCCAATTTAGCTTTAAAAAATGTAAGGGACTTGTGACTAAAATGGCCATGTTTCGTGTGCATGTGACAACAGAGATAAGATGGCCTCAGACAGCTGTTTGCTTGAACCTCACTGCACAACACGCACTGAGGCTTTGGACAATCTGTATCGCCGATCCAAGTGAAGCCCAGACCCAGATAATTGTCATCATATTTTCTTCTTTTTTTCCCCGTCTGGTGTTCACCCTCATCACTTCTTTTTTGGCATCTCCTACCCTGCTCTTCGGTTTTCTCCCTTGCATCTTCTGACTCCCGCTCATTTTCTGTCTCTATCCTCTCCGTCTCTGTTGCCTCCAAATCCTCTCTCTCTTGGTCCCTCTCCTCCTTCGTGACTAATAACTTTATTATAAGACGTCCCACTTGACAGTTTCCCTGATTTCCCTGACAGCCAGTTAAGCATATCAATGAAACGAGTTGGCGCGCATTTAGCCTAGCGGCTGCAGTGCATGAAGGAAGAGCATGCGTAGAAGAAGACAGCTGCTGTCTTCTACGTTTCTATCAAAAAATAATATATTATAGTTTTTATATTTAAAATAAAGGCGATTACAAAGGAAATGTTTATTGTATGGAAAAATCCTTTTATGTATGTCAATGGAAAAATCCCACTTAAAAAACTGACCGCCATTATATTTTTCCTCTCGCGCACCCCCTGGTCGCAGCACCACACTTTGGGAATCCCTGCTCTAGACTCTCTCTGCCCTCTGACGACCCGACGGACTGGCAAATCCCCTCCGGCTCCGTCTCAACCGGTGCGTACCATGAGAGCCACAATGCGAGCATCGGAAAGGAGATGGCGTAAATATAAACAACCTGACGACCTGCTTGAATTTCAATCTCTTCTCTCCTCTTTTTCTGCTTCTATCTCTGCTGCCAAAGGCGCTTTCTACCAATCCAGAATCGAATCTTCATTTTCTAACCCAAAAAACTCTTTTCGATCTTCTCCAACCTCCTCGAACCCCCCAGTCCTCCTCCACCCTTCTTCCGGCTGACTTTGTCAACTACTTTACCAAGAAAATAGCTGACATACGCTCCCCTTTCTCAAACCCACCTCCTACTTCTTGCATCCAACTGGCTTCACCTCTATCGCCCTCACTTTCCTCTTTCACCCCCCTGTCTCCTAACCAAACTTACCCTAGTAACCTCTGCCCGTCCAACCACCTGCCCTCTTGACCCCATTCCATCACATCTTCTACAATCTTATCGCACCTGACCTTCTTCCTTTCCTCACCTGTCTCATCAACAATGCTCTGTTATCTGGTTGTTTTCCCAATTCTCTGAAGGAGGCAAGAGTTAACCCTCTCCTGAGGAAACCTACCCTCAACCCTTTTGAAGAAAACAACTACAGACCAGTCTCTCTTCTTCCCTTTCTGTCCAAAACCCTTGAACGTGCGATCTTTAACCAACTCTCCTCCTATCTCCACAATAACAACCTCCTTGACCCCCACCAGTCAGGCTTCAAGGCAGGCCATTCCACAGAATGCCTAGCCCGGGTAACCTGGCGAGGATCTGTGTCGGAACCTTGTCCTCTTACTACGGGAGTTCCTCAGGGTTCCGTCCTGGGTCCCCTTCTCTTCTCGCTCTACACCAACTCTGTCGGCGCTGTCATTCGCTCGCATGGCTTCTCCTACCACAGCTATGCAGATGACACACAACTAATTCTCTCCTTCCCTTCCTCGGACACCCAGGTGGCGGCACGGATCTCTGCCTGTCTGACTGACATCTCTCAGTGGATGTCTGCCACCACCTGAAAATCAACCCCGACAAAACTTCTCTTTCCAGGAAAAGACTCTCCGACCCAGGACTTGACTGTCAACTTCGGCAACTCCGTGTTAACGCCCACTTTAACCGCTAGGAACCTCGGCGTCACAATCGACAGCCAACTCTCCCTGACTCCCAACATTACCGCGACAACACGATCCTGTAGATACACTCTCTACCACATCTGGAGAATACGTCCTCTTCTCACTCAGAAGTCTGCCCAGGTACTGATTCAGGCTCTTGTCATCTCACGCCTGGACTACTGCAACTCGCTCCTGGCAGGTCTCCCTGCTACCGCCATTCGACCTCTGCAGCTCATCCAGAATGCAGCAGCTCGACTGGTCTTTAACCTTCCGAAATTCTCCCACAGCTATGCTTTCTGTCAACAGACATGATAAGGACATTCGCCCCCCCCCCCCCCTCCACCATGAACTCTTCTCACTGTTAATCACTCAGTCAGTCTGTCTGTCTATTTCTCCTCCTCTCTCTCCCCCTCTCTCTCTTCCTCACCACCCCTCCCTTCCTCACCCTCTCACCCTCCCTCCCTTTATCTACACCCCCCCACCCCACCCCGTCCAATAATTTCAAAATAAAAGACCCATGGAGGGAATTTTTACTGTAATGTTTGTGATGAGGCCTATTAATTCTACTTCTTAGTTTGAATAACAAACATTCTGTCTCCCACCCCCCCCCCCCCCCACACCCAATTCCATCATTACAAAATAAAAGCCTCAATGATTATCTGTACCTTTACCATGAAGCGGTTTCGTTGAAATACGTATTGCTCTTTCAAATACTACTACAACCACTACGAATATTACTAGTACTTCTAGTACTACAACTAATACTTCTACCACACTACTAGTATTTCTACTGCTATTAATACTACAACTACTATTAATGTTATTACAAATACTATGACTAGTAGTAGTATCCCAGCTGTTTCTACTGCTATTGATACTAAACCGACTTCTACTGCTAGTACTACTAATACCACAATTGCAACTATAACTAATACTACTACTAATATTACTACAAACAATTTTAAACCTCGTTTTATTCATCTCAGCTTTTGTTATTTCTGTACTTTTTAAAATTCATATAAGCTCCTGCAACTTCTGTATTTTTTTGAAAATTGATTGAAATTCAGCTTCCCCACTTCCTGTATTTTCAGCAGTTCTTTAAAATAATTTCTGCTTTTCTTATGCCTGTATTAACAGCAATGTTGTAATATTTCAAATTAATTTCAGCTTTTGTAATAAGTGTAATTTCCTCAAATGTATTCAAATTCCCTTCAACTTTCTGTAATTTCAGCTATTTTTAAAAATTCATTTCAGCTTTCAGCTTTTTGCATTCCAACGCATTTTCAGCAGGAAATGCATTTTCTAGTTCGCCTTATTCTCTTCCGTACAAAAGTTTGGCACGCATCTCATCCCGCACCGTTGGTCGGACTTGGCTCAAAATAGTCTCAAACTGTCGGTACAGATCGGCAATCATGTGCTATTATCAGAATAAGAGAATAGACTAAGAAAAGTCTCCATAGCGCCCCCTAGAAAGTTGAAAAGTACCACACTAGGTCAGTTTTTTCCCCCGATGCCCGATTGACTTGAAATTTGGCACACATGTGCTCTTGGACATGCTCTACAAAAAGTCAATCCCGGTATGCAAATGCGCCTAACTAGATTTTCCGCCATTTTGAATTTTGTGCAAAACATGTTTTCGGCCATTTCTCCTAAACACTATGTCCGATTGTCATGACATTTTCTGTGGATCCTTATTGGGTCAATGCCCCCCATTCCACCTTTAGGTTCGTGTTGATATCTCATTGTTTTGAGAAGTTATGGGCTAATGAACTTCGCAAGGGGTGTGGCTTAATCTGGCAAGACTCGTAACTTCCAAATAGTTTGGCCTGCCCTCACCAAACTTGTAACACATTTGAACATTGAACCCCTGGACACACTCTAATTCTTTCAGAATATTTGAAGAATAGGGGGCGCTGCAATTAATTGTTGATTAAAATATAGTTTCGTGCTCCATTGGAATGAATGGAGTGCAATGTGTGTGGGTGTTATATAAAACCCCCGTTTACTCTTTGGTTGTAAGGCTGTGTTGTTAGACCAGTGCTTAGGCAGTCAACTCTAAACGTGGGGGGAGGACAATGGGCGGGGGTGGCGCTAGCATGACGCTAGCTAGCATTGCAAAAGTAATAGCAGGATCTAACTGCTGACAAGTGGCTAAAACAGCCAGAGAAAATCGAGTGGGGGGACAATACAGTCAACGGTGGGGGGGGCAAGGCACGGACGTTACGGCAGGGGGCGGGGCGACGGCGGGGTGGACGCTAGCATAACGCTATCATGGCGCTAGATAGCATTTCACTAGTAATAGCAGGACCTAACTGCTGACAAGTGGCTAAAACAGCCAGAGAATATCGAGGGGGGGACAATACGGCCGACGGTGGTCGGGGGCAACGATACGCCCGACGGTGGGGGGGCGTGACGCTGACATGGCTGTAGCTAGCATTGCATGTAGCTAGCATTGCACTAGTAACAGGACCCAACTGCTGACACGTGGCTAAAACACCCGGGGAAAAATGGGTCATGTGCTTAGTTTGTTAGCTAGCCTTTGTGGCTACCCTTCTTTTGCCTGCTTGGCCGTTTCATGCACAGGCACCTGCGGGCAGTATAGGCCACACTCTTAAAATTACTGCGGAATTTTCTAGTTATTATTATGGTTATCCCCTGATCGTTGTATCCCCCCTACTCCACTTCAAAACCTTTCTGGGGGGAGGCATACTACACATCTGTATTGATCATTTTGACACCACCCCTTATAGACACCATCTCTGGTAGATTACCTTGGATAAAATTAATTTATAATTAGTTCTATGATAGCTGCACTGGATGCCTTCTGAGCTATCAGGTATTGTTTTATGGTGCTGTCGGTGATGTCCTGTGTTTGTCTAACCTCCTCTTGTTTCTTATATAAATTGGTTACTATCTCTTATAATGCTGTGTTGGAACGACGCAGTTCACTGATTTCATTTAACAATTCTACATATAAGGCGTTAGCTGTGTCCCGTGGCTGCACAATCACAACCGTGGGTTCTGTAGGTACACCTGCTCTGTTTTGTTGAAATGGGGTTACATCCTCTTCTGATGTTGCTTCTACTGTTGTACTCTCTTCTTCATAGTCTCAGATCCCCTGCACCATTTCCTCGTCAGTCAAGCATCCTGGATAGTTCCATATGTCCTTTGTTGGTGTAGACAGGTCAAACGGCTCCCTGCTGTACAAGAAAACATGTACAAAATATGTTATAACATAACCGTACTTCTTCAGATAAAATATTTGATATCGCTTTAGTTACCTGCAACCCCGTTTGATAACGATGCCACCCATTCTTTCAAGAGAATTATAAAAATCACCATGAATGATTCGTCAAATAATAAATATATATAAAATCTTATATCATACTGCCATTTTCCCTACCTGTGCCAGCTCCCTGGTTGTTGCACCATTGTAGTCAATGGTGGTAGACAGCTGAGTCAAGCTCTTTGTGCAAGTCTTACACTCATGGGCCTCTAAAAGGTGTAAATACCTATTAAAAATACATAAAACAAATATTTATCACTCAACAATCTTTAAAGCTTTTTAATTTATACCGGTGTGTGTGTGTGTTGAGAACATTTACTGAATAGCCTCTTTTACTGAAACACTATATAATATATATATATATATATATTTGTCAATGAAATAAGTACTTAACATATATATGGTCTATTGCTCCCTCCTTGTAGTGCATCTGGCTCTCAATTGAAATGTCTCAAATGTGAGATGTCTGCTTTCCTGAGGGTAGGCACTTTGTGACACTCAGGGCTTTCCTCTGTTAGGCCACAAAATGTATCCTGTTTGTGACGGCTAATAAGAAGACTAATCATGCATTAAGATGTTAATAGTAAATCTAAATAGAAGCATCAATGTCTCACTGATTTGTTTCCTATTTTGTGGGGGGCCCCGCATACCTTTGAAAAGTAGAAGAAGAAGACACCGGGGGTACACTGGGTAGGCCTCTGCTGTTTCGTAAAGAATCCTGGAGCGGCAACCACCGTGGATGAGTCCAAAATGAGGTCGATCACGGCGCCAAATAACACATCTATATATATGATGAAACCCCTCCTACAGTGACGTGTTTCCTGTCAAAACTAACGGCCATCGCATAAAACACACCCTAAAATGACGAATTTCCAATCAAAACCACGCACACCATCGTCAAAATGGCGTATTTATGCTTAAACAGTGCACGCCCCCGACAAATCCACTCGTAAAATGACGCATTTCCGGGTATGCCTACAAAATTGCAGCGGTTACGCCCACTTCCTGTACACGTCCACTTGTGCATGCACGAGGTCAAAGGTCACATGCACAAGCAAAAGGGGGGCTTATATACCACTCCCCCCCCTCCTCCCGTGACAATAAGATCAGAAGGTGGTCGTCCTGTGGCAAAGACCCAGGGAGCAAATTCACTGTTCTGCTCTCAAATTTCACAGGAGAGAAGAGACACGCCATTCAAAACACCCAAAATAATCCCCGTGTCGAAAATGCTGTAAACATCCCATGAGCAACTTCAACCTTCCTGTGAAGAGCATTTTGCAAGAGGTGCTATTATTCACCAAGCAGTCTTCACGTTGTGAGCAAACCGTGCCAGTCTCTCATTTTGTAAGGGCCTTCTACCCCCACAAATGTCAGTTTTCTGGATGGGAGGGCGGTGGTGGTGGTGGCAGGCTGGCGATAGTTGACAGTAAATGATGTGCATTTTCTCTCGTCATGATGTGGAGATTTATATTAGAGAGCTTGGCTTGACCGCTGTGGATGTTTGGTGTTTTGCTTTGAACGGTGGCTAGACTGTGTTTACTTGCTCAGATGTTGCATCTGCCAGGTCATTGAGGTCTTAACCCCCACCTCCTCCCCCCGCTCTGGTCAGTCCGCGCCTTTATTCATGTCTGCTTGGCTGGAAGTGAATTTAAAAAAAACAACTAGACTAACCTTCAGTGTATAAAACGAAGAGCTTCTGTACGGCTTGGATGTGTTACATTTTTTGGCCCCATCTGATTAATATCTCTCTTCTACCTGCTGACTTCTAAGCTGTCCCGTCTCATGCAATTATAGTAAGCGTCTCTTCAACCGTCCGCCAGGTCAGTGATGGTCAGTGCTTTTTAGAGCTTGCAGCCGAGGATATCTGCCCCCGATTCCGACAGCTCCATCGACTTGCTGGCGAGTGACAACGAGAGCGAGCAGGAGCCCGACTGTAGAGGAACGCAGAGCCAGACCGAAGCTCTTTCCTCCCCGAGCGGCTCGCCACACCTGGACCCGTCTGACGGCGGCGGCCGCCGGACCAGCGAGGCGAAGGTGGGCAACACTGCAGCGAGGTCGGGGACTTCCCCCCCGGCCGCGCGGGGACATGGGGCGGCACCACGGGACTGCGTCATGCACAGCAGGCGGCAAAAACGAGCGGCAAAAACATTCAGCCGGCGCTGAAGAGACCTCGCGGCTCCACAGAGGAGGACTGCAAAGAGCGGCAGCTCATTTCCAACGTGTCAGAGAAAAACCACATTTTTAGGAAGTAGGTGAGCACCACTGACTTGTGTTCTGTTTCCCACCACAGGTGTTTACAGTGTCGGCAGAACTGTAGCGTGCCCCGTCACTGACATCAGCACCCCTGCTGACCGGTGCCTCACACGTCACGTTTCCAGTGATTTACATTACATTGCAGGTCATTTAGCTGACGCTATTATCCAATAGGACTTACATTACATTTTTAACCCATGGCTTTTTACATTTTGCCCGGGGAGCAATTAGAGCAGTGGTTCTTAACCTGGGTTCGATCGAACCCCAGGGGTTCGGTGAGTCAGTCTCAGGGGTTCGGTGAGTCAGTCTCAGGGGTTCGGCGGAGGTCAAGACACACACCCGACTCATATGATCCGTGATTACACGCCCCGCTTGGCCATCATTGGCTGCAGGTGATCACGCAACATCGCTTGGCCTATCTGTGCTGCAGGGAATTTGGCACGCTCAGTAGTCAAATTGTGACTGTCGTGATGGTACGTCGTGTGATTTCTTTCTTAATATTTTAATCCCTTCATACTAACTATGTCGAGCAAAAAAAGGAAGTGGTCGGACGAATATGTACAATATGGATTCACATGTATAACGGAACGTGATGGGAGTCAGCGTCCTAACTGCATGATTTGCAATGCCAAGTTGAGCAATTCTAGTCTAGCACCGGCAAAACTAAGAGAACACTTCCTTAAGCTGCATGGAGATGGACATTACAAGAACACAACGCTCGCTGAATTCAAGGTGAAGAGAGCCAGATTCGATGAAAAGGCTACTCTGCCTGTTCTCGGCTTTGTACCCATCAACAAACCGATCCTCACAGCATCGTACGAAGTTGCTTACCTGATCGCAAAGCAGGGCAAACCACACACCATTGGTGAAACACTCATAAAACCAGCTGTGTTGAAGATGGCGAATATCATGCTGGGAAAAGCGGCTGAAGTTCAGTTATCCCAAATTCCTCTTTCAAATGACTTCATTAGCGACAGAATAGAGGACATGAGCAAAGACATCTTGGCTCAAGTAGTTGCAGATCTGATTTCAAGCCCGGCAAAATTCAGCCTTCAACTGGACGAGACCACAGACGTTTCCAATCTAAGCCAGCTTGCTGTATTTGTGCGCTATGTGAAAGACGACGTGATAAAGGAATATTTTTTCATTTTGTAAGCCTCTTACGACAACAACTAAGGAAGCCGATGTGAAGAAACTTGTGGATGACTTCTTCAAAGACAACAATCTTTCGTGGGATATGGTTTCTGCAGTTTGTTCGGACGGAGCTCCAGTCATGCCGGGAAGAAAGTCTGGTTTTGTTGCGCTAGTGAAAGCCGATGCACCACACATCATTGTTACTCATTGTATTCTGCACAGGCATGCGTTGGCAACAAAACCTTGCCTCCAAAACTGGCAGAAGTATTAAAAATTGTTTTAATGGTTTTGTTCTTTGAACACTGATGTTGATGCACGGTTCATTTTGTGCACCAGTAAAATATATACCTATGTTTTGAATTGTATTTTTCCAATTAAGAAGGGTTCGGTGAATGCGCATATGAAACTGGTGGGGGTCAGTACCAACAACAAGGTTAAGAACCACTGAATTAGAGGTTAGGTGTCTTGCTCAGGGACACTTTCGACATGGAGCAGTCAGGACTCGAACCACCAACCTTGTGCTTCTCAGCACACCCTTCTACCCCCCTGCGCCACGACAACCCCACCTAAGATGATACTAGAATTATTATCTAGTAGAATGAATCATGGTCTGTTGAGCGTCATCATTCTTGTCAAACAGTAGGAGGAGTTTACTGTCTAAATCATGTTCAGCAACTTATATATGTCTTATACTTGCTACAAATTAATGTATTTATGTGTTTTCAGTGCATGGAGCTGCAATGCTACATTCATCCACTGTCATCTATCTTGAATGGCCTTCGTTTAGGGAGATACAGAGAACGTAAGTCATTTAATAAATGTTCTGTTTTATGTCATTAGGAAAAAATCTCAGTAGCTTCATATTGTCTTAACACAATCCTTTCATAGTTACTGGATAGAGAACGTGTGACTTTTTTCTGAATATGACATTCCTGAGACTTGAGAGTGACATGTCTGAAAAGTGTAGTGTTTTAGGGCCATTAAGTAACCACCAACTGTGTGTGTGTGTGTATTTCCTTGGGTAGCGCTGCTAAGCAAACTACACTGTTTTACAATCTCCAGTGAAGCAGTTGTGGATTGGCATTTTTTAAGGATCTCTGCAAGATAGCTCTGAAAACTGCTTGTTTTGGGATCTTTGTCAAACCTTGTGTGACCCGACACTTCCTGGACAGAGGCGGGAAGTCTGTTCTCCTACACACACACACACACACCCACGTTTCACGCAATCCATCTGCTCCACAGACTCGGACCTGCTGTCGACACAGCTCATGTGACTCATGGTACACCTTTCTTCTTTTCCAGGACTCAGCAGTTTCCAGGAGAGTGTAGCCATGGACAGGATCCAGAGGATCATGGGTGTCCTGCAGAACCCGTGCATGGGGTAAGTGTCCTAAGCATGACCCACATGCTGCAACACATGAAACAATATCATCTTAATTTTCAGTGTATCCCTTTTGTTTTTGTTGCTACAAACGCATTGCGGAACAGTGTGATTCCTGTGCAAGTATTTTGGTTTAAAGGAGATTTGGTCAAAGTCACACTACAATACACTCAAGGCAGCATTCAGTTCTAAAAGCTAGAAATGCTGCTTGTTGTCGGCGGGTCAAAGTGGTTTACAGCATGTCTGTAACACACAGCGCACAGCAGGTTGCCCTTTGAGGAGCCACCACCCATACACATTCAGGATGGATTTACTGCAGAGATGGTTGTGCCTCGCTATAGCTGAGCATCTTGTAAAAAAAAGGATCGGGCTCCACTCTGCGAGGAGCACTCTTGTGTCTGCTTGATTAGCTCTCCACTGGCCAGACGGTGTAATAGAGGATGATATCGCCTCCACGAAAGGAGAATGTCTTAGTCTGTGTAATACAATCATTTTAAGATGTTTTGATTTTCTACAATTGTAATACATCACAAATGTAAGCAAATCATGCCTTTTAAGCATATTTCTATTCATAAGTACAGTAATGTGTCTATAATGACTTGATTACCAGTGTAAAGCAAATTTATTTTCTTTAAAACATTTTTTGTATTAGGGCTACAACTAATCATTTTTATTTAATCTAATCACTAATCTTTTCTATTGAACAATATTTCTGGATTTATTAGATTAGTCTACTAAATATCCAAAGTGACGTCTTTAAACGGCCGCTTTTGTTCGCTTGACATTCATGTAAAGGGGCCATATTAGGAAAATTCCACTTTTTTAGTGCTTCTATATGTTAATTTGGGTATCTGGCATGTCTTCCAACACAAAAACGCTGGAAAAAAACAACTCACACGGCTTGTTGTGGTGTGGTGTTGTGTTGTGGTGTCACAACATATCAGACATATACACATTATAGTGTGACAACGGTTTATTGTCCCATACGACCTTACAGTTGTGAAGCAGAGATTGTGATCTGTCACTGAATTTTTTTAAAGTTCTTAAAAGTAAAGAAGTTGAGATACTAGTTTAACTTCACCGTTGGACATGCAATGGTCGTGCATGTAAACAGCATAACCTGCATGTACTGTCGGGGTTATGTGTCTGCACACGGCCCGCTAAAGCCGCCCCCCTCCCCACTACGCTGCAGCGGCTCTTATGCGCTCTACATGCGGGTTGCTGTTTCAAAACTCCGCCAATCACTCCTAATAGCTTGTCGAAGCATCCCAGCATCATCAACTTAATTTAAAATGAGAAGAAAATGCATATTCTGACCAGCTGTACGCTCTCGTTTAACTTCCGCTTAGTTCATGTACTATACATTCTGTTAATGTACAAATGTCAGCTGTCTATTACCGAATCTTACAGACACAAACCACACTGATCGCATAAAGTTAAAACACGCCGACAAGCCGAAGTTGTATTGGGGCTCTCGCTCCTTCTGCGCGAGGCACGCTCCCGATCTTGAATCTAGAATCGATTGCTCTTCCTTGGGTTCCCGGATGTTGCGGTTGAATTTTTTGCGGTTGAATTTTTTGCTGTTGAATTTTTTGCGGTTGAATTTTTTGCAGTTGAATATTTTAACGTTTAATTATTTGCGGTTGAATTTTTTGCAGTTGAATATTTTAACATTGAAAAACATTCAGATACATGATTTCAATGTATACATATTCAGTGCTAGAAATTCAATCACCTTTTTCTTTTAAAGGGGCCATATTATGAAAATTCCACTTTTTTAGTGCTTCTATATGTTAATTTGGGTAACTGGCCTGTCTCCCAACACAAAAACGCTGGAAAAAAACAACTCACACGGCTTGTTGTGGTGTGGTGTTGTGTTGTGGTGTCAGAAACGATATGATTGAGTGCGTCAAATGGGATCCCCACCAACGTCTACATAGATTTTGAAGCACGCCCATGTAGGGAGTCTGCCTACATGGCCTTGGACCGCCCCCCACCACCACTCAACCACCCAGTTTAAAGACGTAATGGCTAGCTGGGCAGGCAGCAGCTAGGCGAGCGCATCTCGTGGAGGAGAGAGGGGCGAGGCGAGAGGGGGGAGGAGGGAGCTGGCTCATTAGCATTTAATGGAACAGCCACTCAAAACAGGTCAATCTGTGGGGAGGTGTTTTTGACAGGGTAAAAAGGGTGCTGTTTGAAATGATTCTTGTGGTATTTTGACCAAAATATGTTACAAACATTTCATTAAGACCCCAAGGAACCATATCAACTTGTGGAAAAATGGGCATACGATGGGTCCTTTAAAATACAATGGCAGGAGGGCAACTTAAAAGCAGGGCTCGCGGTACCTGTATGGAAAACATTGCATCAAGGTGTAGGTCATATATATACGGATTTAAGATAAAGTGCTGCTGAGTGTGGCACCGACTAATTGCAGGCCTCACCCACCAGCTGCTGCCGTCACATGGGAGAGAAAGAGCGGGTGTGGCATCTCCATCCAGACAGCCGGGACAGAGGCCTGCTCCCTGTGCCGACTCCTCGTTGCCAGCTGGTAGCCCCCCCTCGGACCCTCCCCCAACACAATAGTAGATAGGATCAAAGTGACTTTTTTAGCAGTCCCTTCGGGGATAATCCCTCACATGAATTTAACATACTCTGAATGGGGGGGGGTCCTGATCATATGACCTGGGCTAATCCCCATTCACCATCTGGTTTTGACGGGTGGTAGTTAATGGGGGCTCCGCGCTCGGCGGCCCACCTCCAAAGCAGGCTGCATCCCCGCGATTAGTTGATGTTCACGATGATGCCGTCGGGAACCGAAGCGGCTTCATTGTTTCACGCCCACAGGCGAGCGCAGCTATTAGGTGTGAGCTCCAAACATGTAAGAAATCTCCTCGAGCCCGACCCCGACCACGCCAACACACCTACACACACATAGAGCACAGGCTTTCCCACGTGTTTGTAAGGGTTAACCCACTGTTGCAGATTGGCTGTTTCCAATGTTGGCAAGAAGATTGGTAGCGAGATGCAAACATGCCACCTTGAATCGATATGTCTCACTCACTTCCTGCGTCTTTCCTGTCTTCCTTGATTTTTCTTTTCAGGGAGAGATATGTTAATATCATTCTCAAAATGGAGGAGATGCTAAAGACCTGGTTCCCTAATATACAACTCCGAAACCAACCCACCGTCACCCAGAGAGAAGAAGCTCTTCCTACCAAGAAAGTGAAGGTGAAGTTGTACAGAAGCAGACATTTGTACTACTACTACTAAACTACTACTTGTATTGTGAATGAGTCTTCGCTAATGGTAACAAATTGCGCAAAAGAAAAGGTATCATCAACCGACTTTCAGCTCATTGTTTGCGTTTTATGGTTCTCAACTTTAGTGTTTTGGTTCATTCCCATTGCTCCCATCAGCTCTGTTTTTAGCCACAGCAGGTGCGAGTGAGAAAGCTGCGATAAACGCAGTGTGCACTTCCTGCCAATCAGGCAAATTCTACCACAGAGGCCACCAGTGTTGGGAATTTTCCCACCATGTTGACAAAAACCTTTTAACGAGTTACGTTATATGCTATTTGGCGTATATATGTTATTACTATTATTTGTTATTCTCAATTTGTTATGGAAAATTGTAAGTATTCCATATGAACTCTGGCCCCTTTAAGGCCTATCTTATTGATCAACGGGCATTTCCCCATAATAATAAACCACTAGATATTTGAAATTAAACCGCTTCCTGCATTCCCAACAGCTATCTGCAGCGACGGTCCCTGAAGCCACGAGCCCCGTCAGCGTCAGCAGCCCTCCAGCAGGCGTCAAAGCCCTGAGAGCCAGTGACCCTGCCGCCCCCGGAGCCTACTCCGCCAGCAACCTGAAGTGGCTCCACACGTCACCCATCTGCTCGCACACAGCGGAGCGGGCCGGCCGCGGGCACCTGCCGTCCCCCAGAGACCCAACGCAGGACAGCGCTGTGTCCTCCAGCACGGACAGCCACGCTAAGACAAACATGGCGCCCAGATGCCCTCCGCCGGGCAAAATAAACGCACCCTGCCTAGAGAGGCTCCTCATGTCAACAGAAAGCATCGTCGTCCGTAAGGGAACGGGTTTGACGGACAGCAGCTGGTCCTAGTCCTGCGTGGACGGCCTGGTGTCGAGCTGTAAGCACCGCCCGGCCCGGCCCGCCGCCGGGAGCCAGACGCTTAGCCCATTCCAGGCATCAGGACAGGAGCCCTCAAAAGGGATGTCACAAATACCACTTTAACGTGGATGGAGCGTTGACGAGCGTGGACTCTGTGTACGGGAATGCGCCCTCTCTGACAAGACAAGTGTCCGCTTTGGTTCCCCTCTGTTGAGTAATCTTTTCTCTTTGTTTTTTGGGGGTTTTTTTTGTTGCACTCTTGAATTTGTTGTGGGAGAGCGGGGAGGATGGATTTGACATGCAGGAGATCACCAGAGCTGGTGATTTATTACTATTCCCACTGGCTTGTATAGTAGTTTGTATCGGAGGGGATTTTTTCTTTAGATTAGATTAGATTAGATTCAACTTTATTGTCATTGCACAGCGTACAAGTACTGAGGCAACGAAATGCAGTTTAACATCCAACCAGAAGTGCAAAATAGCACAAAATGCAGAGTATGTGCATATGTAAAGTGTAATAAGTGAATAAATAGATATGTACAGTAAGAAATAGATATGCAATATGAACAGTAAGAAATGGATATGCAATATGAACAGTAAGAAATGGATATGCAATATGAACAGTAAGAGGTATTGTAGGTATAAGTGCGATTAATACAGTAATAAGTGGTAGAAAAAAAACATTCTGGTGCAAATGTTCAGCGGCAGGAGGAGAGTGTGGCAGTCAAGCCAGGTTTAGATATCCCGATTCGTCAGTGGTCTACATATTGTGCTGAAAATGTGGGTGAAATTTTATGTTACTTTCAACCCCATGACTCCACTCTTTGAGTTCATTGGTGTGACTGTTACTCATTTGTATACTTTATTAATAAGTCTTTTGGTACAACTGTTCTACCTCAGTGGGCACCACGTCAGTGTTGGTGAGCAGGAATGTGAACTCTCCACTCAAAGTCTGGACACGTCTTCTGCAGCAAGTCGGACGGCGTGTGATGGGGACGAGTCGTCGCGGAGGAGGATTCTCTCCCCCCCCCTCGTGGAGGAGGGGGGGGGGGGGTGCTGTCATGGCCTGACTGGTGCCAGTGTAAAGAATGTCAACTGCAGATTTGTTTTTTTGAGTCTCCCAGTAGAAGGCAAACAGTGCCTGTAATGTCAAGCTGTGCCTGTAAGCCGGTATGATGAAGAGGGAGAACAGTTCAGAGAAGCTGCTCCTCTGTGGGATGTACAAATCGCGAATTCTGACTCTTTTTAATTTGAAATGCAGAAAATGATCAAATGTTGAAAGATTGACCATTAAAGTGTCATTATTTACATTGAATTTGTAAAGATTATATGAGAAACTGCTTTATTCTAATGCGCAACTCAGCTCTGCCACTTTTCAGTTGAGTTCAATAGTCAGCAGCACTTTGCTATAACACAAATCATTATCTTTAAAGGGTTTGGCAGAGGAGGAAAGGCAGACTGTGTCAGCAATCTATGGGATAGCTCATTGTAGGTCTCAACCAAGCTCAATTACGAATCAAAGATCTGATTTATATAATTTAGAGTAGACCAATTATGGGCGGAGTCACCCGAAGACCCTCAAAGGGAGCTCACTTCCTGGAGGAACAATAAGATATATTGCTTGAGAGGAATTATGTAATTTTAGTGCTTTGCATGGTAATTTGTACCACTAAAGTGGTAGAAAGTGCGTTTTGGTTTTATTTTCGTCTGCGTCTGCATATGTGCACGTTCTCACAAGCCAAACAGCAGAGAGTTCAAGCTGTGACCTACCTGTACAGCAAGTACAATGACCAATCACTGCTGCTACTGCTGAAAATGACTGATCGGAGCTGTACTCAGTGATCAGATTGTCAATGGTGAATATTTGATGTTCTAAGAAATTAGAACAATTAGAAAAGGGGATTAATGTACTTTATTTGGGCATTAAAAGAAAACTGGGTTAAGGGACTAAAAGGATAGGTCAACTCCTCAAACGCATACGGCTTTTTGTCAATGTGACGTACAAGTTCACCTCTCCATCCTAATGAGCAACGTCTACTCACACAGACGCTGGGTAAGCAGATTGATGACGACGAACCACAGGTGGCGCTCGGTCTAAATATGGCCCTCCTTCATTAAGTCGCATTTCCAAGAATAGTGTGCAGGCTGTGGTCTTGAAGGTGTATGAATAATGGAAGCAGCCTCCTAAAGCCTATTCCTAGGGAGCGATCATCATGCTAAAGTACAGCTTAGTGATCCCACAGATAAAATGAGGGACCGGTAGAAAGAGCTTTTGGCAGCAGAGATAGAAGCAGAAAAAGAGGAGAGAAGAGATTGAAATTCAAGCAGGTCGTCAGGTTGTTTATATTTACACCATCTCCTTTCCGATGCTCGCATGGTGGCTCTCATGGCACCGGTTGAGACAGCCACGGAGCCGGAGGGGATTTGCCAGTTCGTCGGGTCGTCAGAGGGCAGAGAGAGTTTAGAGAGGAGCGAATGTTGCGACGAACAGTTACAGATTCAGTCAATGGGGCAGGGTCGTTAGTTATAGAGTTTGGGAGAGAGTAAGAGATGAAGAAGTTGTCGGACACATGAAGTGGAGTTACAGAGAGGTTAGTGGTAGAGAAGTGCTGGACATGAGTGGAGCGGGTGGGATAGGTGAAAGAGGAAAGGTTACGATAGAGAGCGGATATGGCCCGAGGCCTGTAGTATCTGCGGGAAGAGGTTCGGACAGGTACGGGTAAAGGGGTCAAACGCCCTCCACGCCTTAAATCTTCGGCTGTTTTTAGAATAACTTATTTCCCCGTTAAGATGGTTCAGCTACTGTAGAGAAAAGGGCGAGCGAGAGACGACGTGCTCGGCGAGAACGACAGCTTTGTTTCTCCGACGCACCCTGAAACAAGTTCCATATCTCACACGCTTGAGCGCCGCTCAGCATCTCGCCGCTCAGCATCTCGCCGCTCAGCATCTCGCCGCTCAGCATCTCGCCGTCGTAGACGAGCTTTGGCATGTTTGGCAGAGCGCCTTGAGCGTCGTGTACAACCAGTATGGATCAACCGATTAACCAATTGATTCGTATGTAAGGCACTCCGGATTATAAGGCACACTGTCGTTTGAGAAAATTAAAGCCTTTTAAGTGCGCCTTGGAGTGCGGAAAATGCGGTATATTTACTTTAATACTACAAGAGGGCGCCGCATTTGTTGAACAACGACAGGCGGACAAGAGCAGCCGTTTCGAGCGAGAGCCTTATTGTTTTATTAATCTGTCCGTTTAAATTGTTTGTGCTTCATCAACTAATGTTTCACATAACTAATGTGCCGCATCATAAATATTTTTATATTAATTTTAAACTTTTAAAAATTAAAAAACTTTATTTATTTATTGTAAATGACCTCTCGCGGCCCACCTGCAGTACCTTCGCGGCCCACACTTTGGGAAAAGTAAAAAATAAATAAAAGAGTTTAAGCAAACTAGGAGCCAAGATAACCTCAAACAGAGAAAACTGGCAGTAAAACGGCAGGAACTAAGCAAATCAGCAATCAAATTAACTTAAGACACTAGAATCAACAACAAATTTAGCAGACTAGCTTGGTTTAAAGAAAAAGATACTTAATAGGTACTTGTGGGAAGTGGGAAAGATACTTCCCACTTTCACCAGTAGGGGGACAGTTAGAGGCAGTTTCTGTGACACCCCGGAGAACCCCACAACACTGACGCTATCTCTGGACATAGCAGACGAGCCCCAGCAGTTACCTCCATAGCCGCCCCTGTAACCACCCCCTTGGTTTGAACCCCACCCTTGGGCTGTCCCATACAACGTCTCCTCCCATGGTGGGAGGCGTTACCTCCAGCTGGGGCAGCCTGTGAAACCATCTGTTCTTCAGTCGCGTCTTGTAAATGGTGTAATAAATGTCTCTCCCACACAGCAGAGTCACTACCTGGCAGGTCTGGGTTAGTGATTATTTTAGCTTTTACACTCTCTGATACGCATTACATTACATTACATGTCATTTACCTATCGCTTTTATCCAAAGCGACTTACAATAAGTGCATTCAACCATAGGGTACAAACTCAGAAGAACAAGAAACAAGAAAGTGCAATTTCCTCAAATAAGCCAATTTACAATTTGCTATAGATGAGTGACGTTACAAGTACAATTTTAAGTGCTACAATTTGTTAGTCTTTTAGTCGAGGTAGAGTCTGAAGAGGTGTGTCTTTAGTTTGCGGCGGAAGATGTGAAGTCTCTCTGCGGTCCTGGTGTCTTCAGAGAGCTCGTTCCACCATTTCGGCGCAAGGACAGCAAAGAGTCGAGATCTAGTCGAGTGTTTTGCTCTCAGTGAGGGAGGGACGAGCAGTTTTGCGGATGCAGAGCGGAGAGTGCGGATCGGGATGTAGGGTTTCACCATGTGCTGGATGTAAGCTGGACCCGATCCATTCACAGCATGGTACGTGAGCACCAATGTTTTGAACTGGATGCGGGCAGCCACCGGTAGCCAGTGAAGAGAGCGGAGGAGTGGGAGAATTTCGGAAGGTTAAAGACCAGTCGAGCTGCTGCATTCTGGATGAGCTGCAGAGGTCGAATGGAGGTTGCAGGGAGGCCTGCCAGGAGGGAGTTGCAGTAGTCCAGGCGTGAGATGACAAGAGCCTGAATCAGTACCTGGGCAGCCTTCTGAGTGAAGGAAGTGAAGGAAGGAAGATCCAAGATGGCGCCGATGATGGCTGCCACAGTGCTTCGGTGCGCTTCATTTTTTTGTTGTTTTTGTTGTTAATTATGTTTCCTGCAGCGAATTCCCGGAGCTTTCACCAGAGATGAGCTCTTGAACATCCGAGGAACAACTCCAGAGTTACTTCCAACTTTCCTGCTATCTTCCGTGGAATTACTGGACATTCTAGTCAAAGGTGCGCTCACCTTTCGTCACGTGGTGAGACGCCGTAGGAGAGGAAAACGGGCCGGCTCGCTGGTGAGACTCCGCAAGCGTGGTTCTCGCACTCCGCTGCCAGGCATCTTTCTCTCCAATGTCCGCTCACTGTGCAACAAACTGGACGAAATTCAGCTGCTGGTGAGGAGAGACAGAGACTTTTCTACATCCTCCGTTTTGTGCTTCACGGAGACGTGGCTCTGCGGATCGATACCGGACTCCGCGCTCCAGCTGGCGGGCTTCCAGCTGCTCCGAGCGGACTGCCACATGGAGCTCTCCGGCAAGACAAAGGGTAGATGAATCTGCTTTTACTTCAACAACAGCCGGTGGTTGAAACGTGGTCTGCCTATGTTGAGCGCATGGTTGTGACCATTCTGAAGGATTACTATGAACCAAGACCATTGGTCATCGCTGAGCGTTTCAGGTACCGTAAATGTGTTCAGAAAAGCGGTCAGACAGTGGCGGAATATGCTGCTGAGCTGCGCCAGCTCGCTGCGAAGTGTGATTTCGGGGACAGGCTGGATGAAGCTTTACGGGATGGATTTGTCGGCGGAGTCAGTTCGGAGGCATGCCAGCGCAAATTGCTCTCGGAGGATAGACTGACTTTTGCGAGAGCTGTGGAGGTTGCTGTTAACATGGGGACAGCCCACCGAGATGCACAGCAGTTGCGGAAGGGTGATGACGTCACTGCTGTTCACAAGGTAAAGGAGAGGCGCTTTCAGAGCAGGAAGGGTGCTATAGATGTAAAGGAAAGGGTCATAGCGCCAGTGATTGTTACTACAAAGATGTGAAGTGTCATAAATGTGGCAATGTCGGGCATATTCAGAAGGCATACAGGACTGGGGGCCAGACACGTGAGAGGCAGAAGAAAAAGGGAAAGAGGAACAGTGTGCGAAAAGAGAAAAGGCTACGTATAAGCTGACGAAATGGAAGATGACATTCTGATGTTTTCTGTGTTCAGTGCAAGTGGTGCTGGCCGACGGCCATACAGGGCAATTTTTGATGTAAACGGAAAAAAAGGTGCCGATGGAAATTGACACAGGAGCGGGAGTCAGCATTATCTCAGAAAATGAGTATGAGCAGTCATTCTCGCATGTGCCACTGGAAGGCAGCAGCGTCGCACTGAAGGGTTATTCAGGAGAGACCATACCAGTAAAAGGGCAGTTCATGGCAAAAGTGACTTATGGAAATCAGACTGCCAATCTACCGCTCATAGTAGTGGCTGGAGAAGGGCCTTCACTGTGTGGGCGTGAATGGCTGGATCAGATTAAACTGAACTGGAAAATGATTAAAAAAGTCACCGGAAACGTTGCGGCCTACCATACTCCACCAAAGTGAGGGGCACTAGGTGGGTTGAACTTGAAGTCGATCTGGTATTCCGTCAGCTGTTCAGCCGTGGTTCCATGGCTGCGAAA